CTTTGGAGGTGGGTGTTACCTTTTGGTTGGTTGTAACTTATCTCCCCTGGGCTCGTACAGGGGGGTCTTGCATCATCCCCACACTGAGGGCCTTTCTCTGTATCCACATGGCACAGAGAAATGTATTTTTATTTATAATTTGTTCCCTGTTCCCGGCCGCAAAAGATTCCCTGGTGTTAGGTCCAGACAGGACCTTTCACCTTACAGACTCCACGGTACGCCTAGAAGTTAGTAAATATACAGAAATAGTTTTTTGTTAGTACCCCCTTTTTATTTTAATTTGCTTGGAATAAAACCTGGTGCCTTCACTTATCACAAGACACAAGTTGACAAAGCTTGTGAAAATGAAACACATGATCACAATGCCAGATTCTGCTCAGACTCTGCACATGAGTGGCAGCAGCAGATTAAAAATCTCTCTCTTTGATCTACCAGCAGCGAAATAATTATCTGTATTACTGCTCAAATCTAAAAGTCACTCTTCCTTCAGTGCTGCCTCCTCAGTATGTGGCTTCCAGGTATATGGCTTTTGCTATAGTACTGCCTGTGATGCACTGTAAGGGACTTCCTTCCTTTCCCTCAGGACAGCAAAGCTTCTAGAAGATCATTTGGTTTTTTTAAGAGTATTAAGGGTCATCATCTGAACAGGAGCCAGATATTCAGAGGCCTGACTGAACAGGAAAAGACAGAAACACAAACAAATTCTGACTTTCTCGAAAGCCTGTCTCAGGTTGTGTGCCCGTAATACCCATATATCACAGGATATTTATTTATTTCTAAATGTTTTTTACAAGAACTCCAAACTCCAAAAGAAAGCCATTTGTAGAAACATTTGTTCCTTACTTTCTTTGCTTTCTTCCTTTCTCCTGACAGCTGAAGTTTGTGTGAGACTTCTGCATAACTTATGCTTACTTTCATACTAAAAATTTTTCTCTGTTAACTAGGATGAAAGGACTTGCTACAAAAAAAAAACCACCTCAATAAGTGATTTTTTTTTTCTTTAGAACCTGAATAGGGGTATTTGTTTGATAAGAGTTAAAGTAGAAATCCTAGTTTTCTCAGAGTTGTAAATAAAGTCCCAGTCTCATTTGTTCCCAACTTTGCAATTAGAAGGGTAATTATTTGCAGTTTGTCCAGGAACTGTATTGATTGTAATAGAAAAGAACACGGCAAACCAGTAGAGGAAAGGCTTAGTGATTTTTCTTTGAAATACTTTCGGCTTGGTTTAAAATACAAAAGATTCTAAAAGCTTTTTATCCTGTACTGGAAGGAAGTGTATTAGCAAGAAGAGGTCCCGCAGATTAGGAAGACCACACACAGCTTGTTAAAAATAGACTTGGCTTGGAGTCGTGCGTTGCACTGCTGTGTGTTGTGTGTTCAGCACTCTAGGCCGGATACACCCCTGAGGAATAAGCAGAGCCCATGATTGTTAGGGAGGACTGTTGTGTGCTGCTGAGCAAATAGGTACAGATCTCAAAGCACAAATCACTAAGGAGAATCATACCCAGGCTCCCTGGAGCAGATGGAAGGGTGCTGAAATAATGAGCCTTTTGATAGCAAATGAGTGGTCCTGAAACCATTTTTTGCCATTACAAAAATATGTAACTGACATAAACCCCTGTTTTGCTTCTTCAGTCCTGTGGGCACTTTATACAGCTGGGGCATAGCAGAATGCTGAACTTCAGGACAGATGCTTTTCCTGCTGTTTGTCTCTGCTGGCAGGGGAAAGAAACAAGTCTCCTTCTGGCTCAGGTTCACTAAAGGTGACTTGATGCCTGGATTTCTGCTGTCCTGCTGGGCCTTCTAATAACATGCATATTCTGGATATATGTGTGTTTGTTCTTAAAACTCTGTTTAGAAGGTTTAAAATGGAGCATGACAAATACACTGGGGGTTTTGGTCATTTGGGCTGCTTCCCAACAATGACTCCCTTTCAGATTGCTGTGCTTCATTTGGTGTCCCAAAAAGATAACTTAGTATGAAGATAAGCCATTAATTACTAAGATATTTTTTACATTTTGCTGTGTTGCATTTTGCAACTGGTGTTGTGCAACAGTGGCTTTTTCAAATCTGTAATAAAAGGTGGTGTCACTGGCTACTCTGGCGCATGTGACTGAAATTTCTTCATTGTACATTTGGGTCTTGAAGGAATTTCGCGGCTTCCTGTGTCAAGATTCAGGATAGAAGTCTTGAGCATAGGTTACAGAGCTTTGGTCACACTTGAATGACAGTGCTGGCAGAGAGGAGGGAGAGAAAGTTCTTTCCTTTGTACTTGCACTAAGGACAACTCTCCCCAAAAAGCTATGCTTGATTCATAGGTAGCATTATCTTTAGATTTAGTTTTGGTCTTCAAAGTGCTGGCATGAGAGCAAATGGTGATGAGCTTGTTTCCAGCATACAGGAGTAAGTAATTTCAACTCAGAGAAGTAAGGGATTTAGGGTTGTTTTTTTTCCACAAAGCAGACCATGTACCTCTGTCTCAGTTTCCTTGGTTGGTTTGTATGCCCTCTTTTGTGCCCCATTCTATCTGAGAAGCTGCAGTCAGCAGTGATAGAAGGACTCTCTTTGCCCACTTGTGCTTTGGTTGCATTTTTCAACACGTGTAATGAAGCAGCCAAGCCCAGTGTGTCAAAGCGTGCCATTTGACATGCTTGTTGACTTTGTTTTTCTTGGAAGGTCTTCTGTGATCATAATGTTCCACATGGTCATATGTAATTTATTTTTGTTGTCAACCACTCTTGAGAATGAATCACTTCAGTGAACTCTAACAGGACTAACAACGTGGGAGGTACAGTGAAATCCCTCCAGATTTCCAGGCTTGTTTAAGCATAAGTAAAGTTTGGAAAGCTGTAATACAGGATCACTTGTGTTGCTTAAAGGGTATAATAGTTCAGTAGCATGTTACATAGCAACTCTGGTAATGAAGTTGTAAGCACTTAAAAAACTGTATTTCTGTAGCAGTTTTACAAGTAGTAGATTGAGCTGATTGTTCTCCTGTTAGCTTTATTGTAGTCTATGTTGCCCATCTGATGAGTTTCTTCTCTCTCAAATTGTATTCTCTTCATTCCAAAGTAAAACTGATTTAGTAATGGAAGTATCTACCAAGAGTGTAGAGGATGGACATCTTCTGCCAGCTCTGGAGGTTTGCTTGGTTTCTGTAGGTCTTGCTGGCACTTCTTGTCCTGCAGAAGGCTTGAACAGAAGCTGTCAGCATCAAATTGAATAGTTCAAACAAAACAAACTCCTCTCAAGGCCCCAATTGCAGAATACTGTAATTTTAGCCCCGAGATGAATACTACTGATGTTTCCAGTGAAGGAGAACCAAAAGGTATCTCCAGTGGCAGTTGCAGGCTTTTTCTGTCTTGTTTGCAGAAACTTCTGTTTCTGGAAGTGTAAATCAATTCTTTTGTTTAAAAGCATGGGCTCTTACCTGGTTTCCTGACTCTGGCTGCATAAAAATCTTTCTCCTACTAATTTGATGATTTTCTTTCCCTTCAATTATCTATAGTTTGTTTTACTGGAGATCTACTCATTTGCAAGTTCCTAGCTTGAGTATACTGCCAGTTATTCTTGATATGGTGGAATTATTTCCCTGCTTTCATCAGAGTTAGCTATGTGTCTCAAGTTAGCATCAGAAATTGGATGTATAATACAGCAATTCTGATGGAGTTTTAATAAGTGTGTTTAAATTCAGCTAGCCCTGGGGCTCTCCATAAATGCACCCTGCGATTTAGTGCATTCCTGCTGATCATTACTCTTCATTAATAGTCTTTTTGCCAATTTCAATCCCTGCAATGGTACTGCTGTCTAAGCTAAGGCAAATTAATTTTCCATCCTATTTAATTATGATAATCTGTATCAAATGCTTTATTAAAGACAAGTTAGTCTACATAATTATTAAACAGTATTTATTTAGCATTACAAATTTTGCATTTGGTAATCAGAAACAGTTGCTTCAGGAATTTGACCAGTGCTTGAAAGGTGTTTAATTGTTATTGGACAAGTATTTTCCAGTGGGGAACTTGTTTCAGAACAAAGGAAATAGTTTGTTTAGAAGCTTTGAAAATAGACTTTGAACATAGCCTTCTATGATGTCCAGCACTAGAATCTTAATGCTCTCTGAATATGCTTGCAGTGAAAATCTGAGTTTTTTTTCAAACAAGTGTGTTTTGTTTCAGACTCCATGACAGAAAGATGTGTATAATAGGACTAAGCATCCTAATGGAATTGCAGAACCGACCACCTGCAGTGGATGCTGTGGCTGCCCAGATTGTTCCTTCGATCCTCCTCCTCTTCTTGGGCTTAAAACAAGTTTGCGCCTCACGAGAACTCACAGAACAGGAGGATCATGCTAAAGATGAAAAACACGTTGCAGAAGATAATGGTAAAATCTTCCCTTTTCACATTGTGGATTTTGTCTGGATTTAATTTAAAGGGGGTAAGAAATTGCAGTTTATTTTTAAGACTCATTAGTCTGCTGAAAATAGCTCAGCTTACTGGGTGCTTGAAAGGTCATCTTAGGAATTGATTTTTCTTGCCAAAATGTATTGAAAACGTTTCAGTATATGACAGCTAACGTTTTGTGAAAGGGTAGTATTGGTTTAAGAGTAACTTGCAAGTCCACTCTTCCAGCTTGCCTGGACTCCACTGGTTATATTCTTACTCCCTGGAAAGAAGCTGTTCC